AAAAAAATTTGTTGGCTTAATGATGGCCCAAAATCTTACAGGTTTTCTTCAATCTTTTTCATTGTTATTTCTTTTCTTCCCCTTTAGAGTGGGTAATTTCAGATGACCTATCTTCAAGTTCAGAAAGTCTTTGGCTTGACAAAGTCTGTTGTTGAAGCTATTGTATTTTTTATTTCATGTATTGAATTCTTCAGCTGTAGGATTTTTTTTTTTAATGATTCCTATCTCTGTCGAATTTCTCATTTATATCATAAATTGTTTTCCTGATTCTGTTGACTTGTCTCTATATATTTTTTCTTATATCTGTTGAATTTCCTTCAGATAATTATTTTGCATTTATTTTCTAGCAGGTCATTGATTTTCTTTTCATTTGGTTCTGTTACTAGAGACCCATTATGTTCCTTTGGTGTTATCATATCTGCTTGCTTTTTTGTGTTTCTTGTGAGCCTGCATTAATCTGTGCACCTGGTGGAACTATTCTTTCTTCCAGTCTTTCTTGTTTCCATAGAAAAAGACTTTCATTTGCAGTTGGGTTTTAATGTGCCAGTTGGGAAGGGTGTGGTGACTTTTTCAATAGGTATAGTGGTATAGTTTCCATGCAGCATCTTCAGGTGCATTCAGGGCGAGCAGTAACTGTGGGTGCCTCAGTTACCTAGTCCATGGAAGTTTGTGGAAGTGGTGGTGGTGGCAGCATAGGTTGCTAATATTCAATGTTAAGGGCTTTTAGTGTCTTCCTTATTCTTATTTTCTCCACAATGGGAAGATATAGCCTAGGGAGATCCCTCTTTGTGTCAAATCTGACATGGCCTACAAGAAGGCCTACTGGAGCACTGGGTTCCTGGTACAGGTGCTTAGAGTAGATGTGGGGCCAGGGTCCTAGGTTCAGGGTCTTGTGAACCTATTGTGGCACCTGGGTCTGAGGGTCTCTGGTAGGTTTGGGTGTAGGTTGTCCACAGAGCCAGGGTCTGTGACTCTGGGTACCCCTTAGCAGCTTGGGTTCAGGTGGCTGAGTTGTAGCTATGATTCTGTCCCTGTAGGGCAGGGCACGGCTCTGGCCTGACTCCAGAGAAGAAGGGTTGCCCCTGGACGTTTTGGCCTAGGGAGCAGGCTATCGTTGCTATCTAGGAACCTGAGCCAATAGGGCTTATTGGCAACCTAGGTCCCAGGGGATAAGGCGGTGTGTAGTAGTGACCCCAGACCCTGTGCTGGTGGGGCTTGGTAGAATCCCAGACTTTGTGCAGCCAGGTGCAGCAGCAATAAGTAATCCAGACTGGTGGGGCACAGCTGTCATTTGGGCCCTGGGGTGGGGGCAGTAAACAGCATAGCAATGACTGTACATCCTAGGAAGAGGTGTTTCTCAGCTGCTCAGACACTAGGGGGCTAGTCTAGCTTCAGGAAAGGAGAGTAGGAAGTTGTTTGACCTGTAGGATGAGGTGTCTCAGCTCAGCCACTCCTCCGTTTCCCTGGTTTGTGGGTACTACCTCGGCATAGTTCCGGATGCCCAGTTGCTCAGTTCAGCCAGGGCACCAGTTTCCTAGGGGGTGATGTGCTGCTTCAGCTCAGGCCTTGGGGACATGACTGTACTGGGTGGCTCTGGCACCTTTTCTCTGGGATAGACGGTGCTGCTTTAGCTTAGGTACTAGACTGCATGATTACTTTGGGCAGCAAAAGCACCATTTCCTGGGATGCTGGGTGCTGCTTCCTTAGGCTAGTATACGACTGAACTTAGGGAGGCATGATTGCTCTGAGCAGCCAAGATACTGTTTTCCTAGGAGGTAGTATATGGCTTTAGCTCTGGCTGAGGGGGATGTGAGGGGCGCTAGGTGGAGTAGCTCCACCTCTATTTGGCTCCACTGGGAAAGTTGTACAGCTGCTTGCATCTCAGTCTGTGGATGTCAGGCCGCAGTGTTGGGGTAGCACTGGGGATGAAGGGGTGCTGTGACTACTTGCTCCCAGAGCAAGAAAACTCTAGCCACAGTTCCAATTCCAACATGGTGTAAGTGCAGCAGCTGCACAGGCCACATAGGTCGGAGCACAGCGTTGGCTCCTTTCCTGGGGGGAGCATAGCTCTGTGGACTCCAGGAAGTTCTTTCAGCTGGGCTTCATGCTTGTGAGGACCGCAGGGTATCCCTGTCAGGTCTGTAGGTGTCCAAAGTGTTGATGGGGGTTGCTGGGATCCTCTGCTTAACTCCTTGCCAAGGGAGTTCTTCCTGGTTCCCAGCTGATCCAGCTGGGGGATGTGATGGTGGAGGCCTGGTGTTTCCTTCTGTTCTCTATGTGACCATCCTGAGTTTCTGTGCTCACCAGGGTTTCTCTTACTCCACTGATAAACTCGGCTGCTCTTCTTCGGTTTTTCTCCATTAAAATGCAGTTATTTATTCATTGTTCTGGCTATGTTTGTGAGGGGGATGGGCATGAGGGACTCATAGTTGGCTATCTTCTAGAACATGCTTTCCCCCTTTCCTGTCTCTTAATCACTGCCTAAGTTGTTAATATCAATAGGAGTTACTCCAGGTATGCTTCTAGCAAAGAAAGTTGATAACAAGGGCGGTATAGAGTGCTTTAATGGAATATTAAGGAAACACATGATAGAATGTCCTTGCATGGAAACACGGGGTCAATAATACTATTTGATGAATTGCTAGGATTGTGTTCCTTCCTTTTTTTGTTTTTTACCAGATGCTTTGGAAGTGTTTCTTATTGTGTATTGAAAATGAGAAGATTTTCACCTCCAACCTAAGTGACTAAGGAAATAAGGGAAACGTTTGTTCTAAACTGATGCTCTTCTGAATGCTTTGATATAAAAGGATGACATTTTATTTTCGTTAATTTTTTTACATTTTATTTTTGTTACTTTTTTTAGAGGCAGGGTGTTGCTATGTTGCCCAGGCTGGTCTCAAACACTTGGCCTCATGCAATCCTCCTGCCTGAGCCTCCTGAGTATCAGGGATTACAGGCGAGTGCCACTGTGCCTAGCAAGGATGACATTTTCTGCACTGACATATAGAATGGCCACATCAGAGTCCAACAGTATGATTTACCAACAGCAGCCTTTAACACTGACTCCCACTTCCTGAAAGCAGCAAGCAATGGTAAAGGCAATGGCTGTGGCATCTATTCTGAAGAACAGTAATCAGTGGTGTGGGTAAGCTGCATCTTTTATGGTCAGAAAAGAGAGATAAGACTTACCACGTTTCAAGGAAGTATATGTTTATGTTTTAAAGTGTCTGTTGTGTCAGTACTGATGTGGGGGTGATTTGGAAAGCTAAGAAACAAAAGAAACAAATAGCCGAGCATACTGATGACCCATACTGGCAGTCCCAATGACACTGCCATCAGAGAAAGGCAGCTGACTGATTTTTGACCACTTCTCAATATCCTTTGCTGACAGGAAATGGGCACCATCCGGAACAACATATCAAGCATCAGTCTGATTATAGAGTACCATCTCATCTTTGTTGTCAGAACAGACGATTGCCACAATGTCTGTTTTAAAGAAGAGATGGTGGATGTTACAATAAGAAATAAATGAAAGGATTCATAAGAGATCTGCAAAGTCAAAGGGAAGCCTTCTTTCTCTCTCTCTTATAATAATGTGAATTATTTCCTTAATTAAGTAAATATGAAGATAGTAAATTCATATTACTGGTTTGACTGTCTAAATCTAAGCTTTATGACTCTGACTTCTGACTTGATCAGAATAGTTTTTGTTCATGGATGATTTTTATTTCTTTTTCCACTTAATTTCAAATTTGATTACCACTGTGATTATTAAAAAAAATCTAGTTAAATTTTTCATGAAATTTTAAGGAGATTGTTTCATATCCCAGTCCACAAAGTTCTTAGCATTTAAACAGTCAATGTTCAGACTATTGAAAGCCTACATTTTCTTAATGTTTTTATCCTATGTATTCTCAGAGTAATATTTTTTTTAACATTTTATGTTTTTATTTTTATTTTGAGATGAAGTTTTGCTCTTGTTTCCCAGGCTGGAGTGCAATGGCACGATCTTGGCTCACTGCAACCTCCGCCTCCCGGGTTCAAGCGATTCTCCTGCCTCAGCCTCCTGAATAGCCAGGATTACAGGCACCCACTACCACGCCCAGCTAATTTTTTCTACTTTTAGTAGAGACGGGGTTTCACCATGTTGGCCAGGCTGGTCTCAAACTCCTGACTTCAGGTGATCCACCTGCTTTGGCCTCCCAAAGTGCTGGGATTACAGGCGTGAGCCATTGAGACTGGCCTAATATTTTATCTGTTATGTTTTTTGTTCTTCCTGTCAACTAATCATGGCATTTTGCCATATTTGAATTTACTTTGGAACTCTTGGAAAGTAATGGTTTGGTACTGTAGTTTATATTGCTAAGAACATTATTCATTAGTCACACAGAAAGTGTATAACATAATTAGTTGAGTAGTAGTAAATCACATTGAAGTTAGTGTTGGTGGAGAAGGAGACATAATTTCCAAGTGACTTTTACCATGGCATATTTCTCAGCCTTAGCAGTTCTCTTCCAAACAATATGGTTATTCTTTCCCTGCTGAATTATCAGGATCTCTTTCCAGTCCTTTGTCTTCTTCTGAATTGTTTAAAATTTATCGTTGAAGTCACCGAAAAAGTGAGCAGGTTAATTGCTATCCCTGTGAGTTTGCGTGGGGAAAAGAAAATTCTCCCTTGTTCCAGACAGGTCTAGTGTTAGGGTAGAGCCAGATATATCCTATTAACTGTGTTGTCCTTAAGCATCACTCAAGTTTTTAAGCCGTGCTCTCTGGACTCGTATATGGACTTCTATCTGGAGAAAATGATTCACTTTAGAAGTCATGAAGGAAGAGAATAAAAGGGATCCTTTCCCCTACATTTTCTAGTACACAGGGGAGAATATAATCACATTTTCCATCAAAACAAATAGAAAACTCTAGATGTTTATTTTGGACAGTTAGGAAATTATATCGCTGTTACCAGGCTTCCATTTTGGTTTCTGGTCATTAGAAAGCATTACCCTTGCTTTGATGATGGTTGGCCGAGGATCCAAGATGCCCTGCATTTTCCTCAGTGCAGGCACAACAAAGAGATTGCAGGTGACGACAGCCGATACAGGATTCCCTGAAAGTCAACCAAGCAGTTATTTATAATACACTGTGTAACAATTTGCCAAATAGTTATGTCTGTCTATATCTTTGGGTATCAGAATGTGACGGAAGTGACTAGGCACAATTTTTCCTCTTCTGAATCACCTTGAATCCAACCAGAACAGAGGTATAGTCAACTAAATGCCACAGGAAGTATAAACATTTGCGTCTTTCAGTAAAATGGAGAATTCTGCTGCCTAGAAGCTGTTTAACACCATTTGTTTTTGCTTTCCTGAGCCAGTTGAAAGCCATTACTAATCTTATTATCAAGATTACTCATTACTAATCTTGTTTTAAAGCCGTTTACAAGTTTTATATATCTATTTGCTATTTTTTAAGCATTTAAAAATTACTATAGTATTACAAGCTTGGTACCCAAACTGAGAAAATATAAACATAAGGAAACTTATTTATAACCTTCTCTACCTAGATATTCCTTTAAATTAAAAAACAAACAAACAAACAAACAAATGATTTAAGATGTGTCTTAAGGACCTGAAGATGAATACTGTTATGGATTGAATTCATATGATAAAGCTAGAACTCGGCCGGGCGCGGTGGCTCAAGCCTGTAATCCCAGCACTTTGGGAGGCCACGGTGGTTGGATCACAAGGTCAGGAGACCGAGACCATCCTGGCTAACACTGTGAAACCCCATTTCCACTAAAAATACAAAAAATTAGTTGGGCGTGGTGGCGGGCACCTGTAGTCCCAGCTACTCGGGAGGCTGAGGCAGGAGAATGGCGTGAACCTGGGAAGTGGAGCTTGCAGTGAGCTGAGATTGTGCCACTGCACTCCAGCCTGGGTGACAGAGTGAGAATCTGTCTCAAAAAAAAAAAGAAAAAAGCTACCCAGTCTGTGGTATTCTGTCACGGCCGCCTGAGCAGACTAATACGAATACCAAATTCTTTTAAAGTTATCAGAAGAATTTAAGGAATTCCACTATATCTCTCCAAGAAGAAATCTAGGTGTGTCATACACTTCAAAGGAGGAAGGGTGGGCTGTGAAGAAGCAACCACCTGGGCTGTAAATAACAGATTTGATTTCTTGTGTGGCATTTTATCTAACCAAGCTGTGAGATCTTGGCAAGTTCCAAAGTTTTTTGAGTCTGACTTTACTCATCTATGAAATGAAAGGTTTGGATTACATGATTCTCAACATCTCTTCTGGTTCTAAAATTCCAATTGTTTTAAACTTTTATATAGTTCTATGTAAGTATGAATGTATCACCTGGAGTGGGGAATGGGCTACTAGATTTTTAGGTTCCCTTGGCCTGGCTAAACACTGCTTATTGCATCATCAAGTCAAAAGGCAATGGTCAGTTTAGCCTATTATTAGCTATAATCATACCTCCAATTCTCTTCTACCTACAAAAGTGCTTAAGAATAGATTTTTTAAGGTGCAAAAAGTGACAAGTGATACTAATAATTTCAATGGAAAAATGAGTTGTCCACAGAACAGCAGACTCTTAAAAAGAATCAATTACTTTCCCTTGCTTCAAAATACAAGCAGATAGAATATTTTTTCTGGAAAAGCAAAACAAAAACCCAAACAAATAAAAAAGCCATTGTTCATCAAGGATTATAAAATCCTTACAATACTACTACTTTATAACATTACTGTATAAAAAATGAAGCGCTCCAATTATTTTAGAGGCGGGGTCTTGCTATGTATGAAAAAGGATTGGAAGGACTGATATCAAAAACTTGTAATAGTGGTTTATCTATATGTGTATGTTGGGGGATTATGGTTAACACTTTTTTATGCTTATCTGTATTTTCTGATTTTTACAACAGTGAGCATCACTCTAGCAATGTTAAAAATGTCAAATAAAGCAAGTAAATATACACAACTTTGATTTAAAACTTGTCAAGATTAGGGATGGCTTTAAATACATGGCCTGCAGGAAAGCAGTGATACAGTTTTGAAATGGAAAATCCTTGTAAAGCGGCGCATAGTGGCTCATGCCTGTAATCCCAAAACTTTGGGAGGCTGAGGCGGGTGGATGGCTTGAGCTCAAAAGTTGAGACCAGCCTGGGCAACATAGCGAAATCCCGTCTCTACAAAAAATACAAAAATTAGCCAGGGGTAATAGCAAGCGCCTATAGTTCCAGCTACCTGGGAGGCTGAGGTGGGAGAATGGCTTGAGCCTAGGAGGCAGAGGTTGTAGTGAGGTGAGATTGTGCTGCTGCACTCTAGCCTAGGCGACAGAGCCAGACCTTGTCTCAAAAAACCCCGCAAAAACAAACAAACAACAACAACAACAAAAACATCAAGAGAAGCAAGAAAATCCTTGTAAACGGAACCACTTTGCACATTTTACAATCTGAACATGTGAGTTTCCACTGCCCTCTGTTGGTTCACTCAGGCTGAGCAGATAAGGTTTCAAATTAAAAGCAGGAATTTGAAAATAGGTTTTAATTTTATAACATCTTTGGCATAATGCTGAAATAGGCTCCCACAGTAACATTCTTTGTTATAATATCACTGATGGTTTGTAGGTTAAGTCATATCTTCTGTAGACAAAAGAGGCTCTTCCAGGCCAAATGAAGCTAGGAAAAGGAGCACGTTTCTTTATACAATGGCTATCAGAGCATCCAAGGAATTATGAAAGGTCCTAAGGAGTTTCATGTTACAGATACATTCTGAGAACTATTTTACTTAAATGTCCTCTCTCTGAAAATTTTCTATATGATAGAAATCTAATCTCTTTAATGCTTATAGATAGGGGCTTAAAATGTTTTTAAAGTTTAACATTTTTCTGCCTGCTTCCATTTCTTTACATTTCCATTTTGAGATTTACTTGACATAAAAAACAAATAAATATCCCAAAGCCATGAGATTTGTAAATCTCAAATAAATAAGTTATTTTCTAAAGGAATCTGTGCCAAAAAATAGAGAACTGAACAGAATGATCAGAGGATAATTTTAAAGTTAAAAAAATAGATGCATAAAACTTTTAGACTCTTTTAAAATTTATCAAGATTCATCATGACTTTAAATATATAACCCCAAATCACTAAAAATTTGAATTTGAAAATCCTTGTGACCTGAACCCACTTTGCTCTTTCTATAATCTGAACATGCAAGTTTCTGCTCACATTGGGGCAAGCGTGGGAATGGGGAAGTTGTAGACAGATGATGAGTGGGATTTGGCTGAGAAGCACTAGTAACAGTAGTAGCCTGACCTTTCCTCTTCCCCTCCCCTCAACCAGCCTAAATCTGGCAAGGACCAGAGGCAGCTTTGTATTTTCTGATTTGGTATTTGCATGGGTGACTCAAGGCACTTTGGCCTCTAGAGCACAATACTTCTGGGTATGAGAGGTATTAGGCTGCTAACTTCAACCAGTTTCCTACAAGGAAAAAGCAGGTGCCCCAGAAAGATCCAGTGACAGCTAACACTTGATTATCATCTCAGGATTTGGAATGTGCTTTGATATATATTATCTAATCTGATTTTACACCAACCCTATGAAGTAGATATTAGTCTTATTTTGCAGGTGAAGAAACTTCCTATAGAGGTTAAGTGATTGGTCGTTTAGAAAAGCTGAGATTTGAGCCCAGGTCTTTCAGATTTCAAACTAGGTGGTCTAATAGGGTACTGGTCACAAGAGAAGTCCAAAAAATTTTGGCTATTTTTCCAGAAAAAGCAAAGGAAACAATTCTTTATTCTTACCAGGTAGTGCAAAGATTATTTTTCTTACACCATCAATATCCAAAGTTGCAAATGTTGTTGGCAAGCTAGAAGAAAAAGTCACTTGTTAGTGATTGCTAAGCAATATGATAAATACATTAAGTACTCCAGTGTTTTTGTAATCCATACACTTATCATATAGAAAACACTTTTCTGTTGACTCGCCTTTACATCTTTATACTCTGAAGTATTCTATACACACTTAAATAAGTTTGTTTTTAGTATTCCCTGTTTTCAAGTAACCACACTTTCTGGTTTACAAAAAATTACTTACTTTTTTTTTTTTCTTGCCAGTGCCATAGAAATGGACTCCAAATCTTGGAGTTTCCAAGTTTTCCCACCCCTCTAGTTAATAATGTTTATACTACTTCTGCTGGCAATTTACAATAATCATTCTTAAAAGCAGAAGACTGGCCGGGCATGGTGGCTCACACCTGTAATCCCAACAATTTGGGAGGCTGAGGCGGGTGGATCACTTGAGGTCAGGAGTTTGAGATGAGCTTGGCCAACATGGTGAAACCCCATCTCCACTAAAAATACAAAAATTAGCCAGGCGTAGTGGTGTGTACCTGTAATCCCAGCTATTCGGGAGGCTGAGGCAGGAGAATCGCTTGAACCTGGGAGGCAGAGGTTGCAGTGAGCTGAGATGGGCACTGCATGCCAGCCTGGGCGACAGAGCAAGACTCCATCTCAAAAAAAAAAAAAAAAAAAAAAAAAAAAAAAAGGCAGAAGACCGGAGGACTACCTGATAATATGTCTATCAGATAGTTGCCTATTGTTCAAAATGAGTATTTTTTTTAACCTTTTTCTTTCAATTGTGCTTCTTCTGTATTAGCCTTTTAAAACTATCCTTAGCATAGACATAAACACTTCCCTATTATCAAGACATTATTTTTGAAATATCAAAATAAAATATCATGACTAGAACAAAATTAATAGTAATTTTTTTTTTGGAGATGGAGTTTCACTGGAGTGAAATGGTGCGATCTCGGCTCACTGCAACCTCTGGCCTCCCGGGTTCAAGTGATTCTCCTGCCTCAGCCTCCTGAGCAGCTGGGATTATAGGCATGTGCCACCACCTTGCCCAGCTAATTTTGTATTTTTAGTGGAGACGGGATTTCTCCATGCTGGTCAGGCTGGTCTTGAACCCCTGACCTCAGGTGATCCACCCACCTCGGCCTCCCAAAGCGCTGGGATTACAGGTGTGAGCCACTGCGCCCAGCCAAAATTAGTAGTAATTTAAAAATATTCTCAAATTATACTTCCTCAAGATTTTGACATGCACTCTTATCATGGGAGGTGGGATGGAAGAGTGAGTGGCATATGAGAATAGTGTTTTTTTCCTATTCATTACCTTTTATATAGAATTTTAGCTAAAAAAATCTCATTATATTAATGAACATTAAGCAATGCAGAATTCTGATGAAATATTAACCTTTTCAGCACTTAAATTGTTTTATTTTTACTATTTTTGGAGGTTGATCTTTTAAAAATAGATCCCTCACTCATTACCTTTGGCAATAATACAGTGACACTGACTTTTTTTTTGATGATTTATAGCCATCATTATTAATGTGTTCTACTCTGCTGTAATACAGTGATGTTAGGTCACAAGAGAACTATGCGTTGTTTTCACCCCAATCATAACCCCACATTGCTATGTTTCTATAGTTCTTGTTTCTTGTTTCGGTTTTTTTATTTCTTCCCAATTTTTTTTTTTTCCCTATGGCACCTTGTAATGCAAAACTGCTATCATCTTGACCATTAAAGCTGGTTTTAGGTTTGAGAATCAGAGAATGATAGCAATAGTTATATTGTTAGAATGAAAATAATAACAGTAATAATAAAAATATCTATTTTTATTTATTTATTTTTTGAGACAAGGTCTTGATCTGTCACCCATGCTGGAGTACAGTGGCTCAATCATGGCTCACTGCAGTCTCCATCTCCTGGGCTGAAGCAATCCTCCAGCCTCAGTCTTCCAAGTATGTAGGACTACAGGCATGCACCACCATGTCCAGCTAATTTTTTAATTTTTAATACAGATGAGGTCTCGCCATGTGCCCAGGCTGGTCTGGAACTCCTGAGCTCAAGTGATCCACAGGTTTGGGCCACTGGGCCTGGCTAAAGTATCTGTTTTTTAAGTAACATCTATGCATCGCATTCATTATTTCATTTAAGTCTTACAACAAGCTTATGAGGTAACAATTATTATCCCATTTTATATGGAAACTGAGATTCAGAGAGATTAGGCAATGTGGTCCAAGTCACTCAGCTACTAAGTGGGGGAACACAAATTTGAACCAAGGTTGTTCTAACTTTAGCTTATATGTGGATAAAGATCTCACAGGATGGTTATGTAGTGTTAGTCCAGTTAGATCTCTGGACATCTATTTTGGGAGGCCTTTTTTTTTTTTTTTTTTTTTTTTTTTTCAGACGGAGTCTCGCTCTGTTGCCCAGGCTGGAGTGCAGTGGCGTGATCTGGCTCACTGCAAGCTCCACCTCCCAGGTTCACACCATTCTCCTGGCCCAGCCTCCTGAGTAGCTGGGACTACAGGCGCCAGCCACCACGCCCGGCTAATTTTTTGTACTTTTAGTAGAGACGGGGTTTCACTGTATTAGCCAAGATGGTCTTGATCTCCTGACCTCGTTGATCCGCCCGCCTCCGCCTCCCAAAGCGCTGGCATTACAGGCATGAGCCACCGTGCCCGGCCCACTCTGAGGCTTTTCTTTTGCATACTTTCTGATTCTTTGCTGTGTTTTAGAAAACTGAGATTAGATTTTGATACTGATTTATGGATAGGTTATTTGGCAATGATTATGGTGTGATGCAAATAATTTCAAAGATTTGTTCTTAATAACAGCTATGCTCATTGTAGATGACCCAATAAAAAAAGTGATTGGTAGATCTGGTTGCTAATACTCCGAATGCTTTTCTGAGTATCTTTGCCTCTAAAATGAAAGAGCTTAATTGCATTCTGAAAGCACTGTTATGTGGAAATAGCAAAGCCAAATTGTATTTGTGTGTTTTACATTTCTTCTGTTCTAATATTAAGTAGCAATTACCTTTAAGTTCTTATTACCTTTAGAAAAGCATAAAATTCTGGTGAACTAAAAGAAGCCCATTTAAACTTCGAAACTACTTTATTTTAGCAAACCCACAGATAATAAGAATGAGGAGAGAATATATTAACACCTTCTTTCTTCCACTGTATTTAAAGCCCATTTAAATTATAGGGCCAATTTAAGCAATCTTTTGCATCTTGCAAGTAGGTAATGTAATTTCTATAAAGGTACTCATTAAAAAAGGATTCCATTACAAAAATATTTTGTTATTATGCATTGCTATCATAAATGTCCTATTGCTAAACTGTGAATTTTTTTTAAGCTCTGGAAGCCATTTCCTTGGAACTCAAAACCTATTACTCAGTTCTCCTCTTGAGATCAGACTATAAGAGCATTTACGCAATAGTTGAGGTCACAGAGTGTTATGATTTTAAGGGAGGAAATTAAACATTAGGAATTGATGAACTGCTAAAGTTGAAGTGAGTGGTAAATAACAGATTAAAAAAAGAGTACAAAAGTTATCACAGGCACTGAGAATATTTTAAATAATAGATATTATACAAATAACTCTTCTCTGGGACAAGAGAGGCGAGGGCAAGTAGTGTTTGCTTCTTTCCCTCTGCAAATGGAACAATCAATTAATTAAATCTTTTTTTTTTTTTGAGGAAGGGTCTTACTCTGCTGCCCGGGTCAGAGTGCAGTGGCACTATCATGGCTCATTGCCACCTCTGCCTCCTGGGCTCAAGTGATCCTCTTACCTTAGCCTCCCAAGTAGCTGGGACTACAGGCATGTGCCACCACACCCGACTAATTTTTGTGTTTTTTGTAGAGACAGGGTTTTGCCATGTTGCCCAGGTTGGTCTCCAACTTCTGGGCTCAAGCGAGCCACCCCCACGGCCTCCCAAAATGCTGGGATTATAGGCGTGAGCCACTGCACTCGGCCCAATTCAATTTTTGAGGTTTTGAGAAGCACGTTGATATGCTTTTGGGATATTCTCTGTATTCTAATCAGATTAGTACTGCCCATGGGCTCAGGAAAAAAAAAAAAAAAAAAAAGGAGGTATACCCAATAGCATAATAATATTTGTGTAAGACAAAATGATCCAAATCCAATAGTTTCTTTCTTTTTTTTTTTTGAGACAAGGTCTCACTCTGTTACCCAGGCTGGACTGCAGTGGCATGATCTTGACTCACTGCAACCTCTGCTTCCCAGCTCAAGTGATTCTCCAGCCTCATCCTCCCGTGTAGATGGGACTATAGGTACAAGCAACTAACGCCTAACTAATTTTTGTATTTTTTATAGAGACTGGGTTTCTCAATGTTGCCAAGGCTGGTCTGGAACTCCTGAGTTCAAAGCAATCCACACGCCTCAGCATCCCAAAGTGCTGGGGATTACAGGTGTGAGCCACCATGCCCAGCCCCAATTCAACAGTTTCAATAATAAAAAGGCCCTATCAGCAGCAGCCATATTGGGGCACGCTCAACAGGCAACTACAGAAATACAAAGCCAAGAATTCTATCTAATTATGGACAAAGCTTTAGGGATAATCTTAATTCTATACTAAAAATGGCCAAATTGTGGAGGTAAAGCCTGATCTCTATCCTATAACTGACATGAGGCACTTATTAGGAGGGCTAGCTTGATACTTTAAAGGCTTTTGAAATTTGTTGATGGTACCCGTAGCTCACTTATAACAACTGAGAAGCCTCTTGGCTTCTCTCCTAGGGTTCATTAACAGTAAAGCATCATTACTGTTGTCCCTAACAGCATGGAGGTGTGCTGGAACTCTCAGCCATACAGTTGAGGTCTTTGAACAGGAAATCATAGGTTCATAGAGTAGCAAAGGTCTAAACTATTTCTTAAAGATATGGCCATATCTTTCACTAACACCAATGTTTGGCAACCTTTGAGGATTTATAACTGACTTCAGGACCTCCATCAGCCCTTCTTTAGGTGTTATTAATTTTTAAGAGATGTGAAAATTCATGGTTATTTTTCTTAGTTATTTTTCTTTCCTCCTGGGGACCAGAAGGAAGCAGTGTGACAGTCAACTTAACAAAACATTCTTGCAAAGGAAAAAAAAAATTAAACCTGAATTTAATCAAGCCTTTGTATCTTTCAATCTATAGCATACATCAGAGACAGAGGAACATAACCTAAGGAAGTAATCAGCCAAATCCATTCATCAGTACACATGATCCATTTTCTCTAGCAAGTCAATGGCACAACAACAACAAAAAGCGTGGGGGCAGAAAATGTTCTCATTTAATAGAGACTTAAACAAATACACTGAGTGGACCTTAACGCAATCCTTATCAAACAAAACAATTATAAAAAGGCATTCTTTTTCTTGATATGTAGGAGAAATTTGAATATGATCAGGGTATTAGATGATATTAAAGTATTATTTATTTTGTTAGATGAGATAATACCATTGTGGTTAGGTAAGAGAATACTGTTGTTAGTATTATTATTTCAAATGTATATCAAAATGACATGTCTAGAATTTGCTTTTAAACAATCCGGCCCTCTCTCCCCACTAAAAGGCAGGGTGGGGTGGGGGTATTGATAAAACAATTACAGAAAAATGTTGATAGTTACTGAAGCTGGGTGATGGGTACATGGGGTGGGGGTTCGTTCCCTACTTTTGGGTATATTTGAGAGTTCTCATATTAATTATTTTTAAAAAGAGAGAAAGAAGCAGTTTGGGCAAAAAGAGAAAAAGAGGAAGAAGGAACTAGGGATGAGAATAAAAAGGAGAAAAAGTTTGGAAAGTTGCTGTGTTTTGTTCATACCAAACTCAGTAACTCATAAGGAAGATGAATTCCTATTTCATTAGGACCTGCACTTGTGCAAAGGATCCTAATACTATATTTCTTTTTTTTTGGAATAGTTAATTCATAATAGGAAACGTAAAAAGAAGGCATTTAAAAGTTTGTTAGTTAAAGCAAGCCAAACCAACCCCATATATGAGATAACAAGATTATTTTCATACCCTGGTTTCATAAAAACCCTGCCAAAATGGATCTGAGCATGAAGATCAATGTCCAGCACCTGCTTGAGATAGTCCTGCAAACATTAAAAATAATCACTTTACTTTCAAACATTTTAATATTAGACTTTCAACACTTTAAATGAACATTAAATTAATTTATAAGATTGAAATGAAAAGAAACATCTTTCTTATTTTAATGAAGTTGATTTGCGTAACACAATATTCCTTCATTCCTCATTTATCCATTTATTCATTCAATAAATAGTCGCTTAACACTTGGTATATGATGAGTACCAATCTATGTGCAGGGGCACACAGCCTTGAACAAAAGAGACAACGTCCCTGTCCTCATAGAAAGTACATTCTAGTAGGAAAAGTTAGATAAAAACAAAACAACTACATTAATGTATAACATCACTAGCTGGTGGGTTGTTTTTCTTCTAAGATAGAATTTTATGTCTGACGAAGGATGTTAACAAATATGTCTTAAGTTGTGCCTGGGCAAGCAACCTACATGTATGTATCCTACACCATTCTGCTTAATGATCTTAAAGCCATATACATTCCTTGAAGAGAGACTTGAACATATGCCCACAGATTATTTAGATTTGTTAAATCTAAATAACTCAACTAAAATGAAAAACAGGAAGGGAACGCTAAAACAGAAAGTCAAGGGAGTTTAACTACTCCAACTTTATATTCTAGTATTAAAAACAAAACTAACCTGTGGCTATGACCAACCCACAGATTCCCAAATCTGATCTTTGTAAATGATATATAACACCGCTCTGCAGCTGGTGTTGTAGACAGAAAGAAAAAAATTGCAGTCCTTAACATTTCTCTTAAATAATACAAACCTAGCTAGGTCTATTACTAAATTTTTTGGTTTACTAATCTAAAAGTGAGTCCAGTAACCTGCCTACATTTTAAATATTTCACAAGCTATGAGGTACTTTTATTTGTAAACATGTGTTCCCTTCTATCTCCACAGCCTCAACCAACATCATCTCACTCCTTGCCAATAGTGCCACCCTCCTCCTGTGGGGAGAATGAATTACAGGCACGCACCACCACGCCCAACTAATTTTTGTCTTTTTAGTAGAGACAGGGTTTCACCAGGTTGGCCAGGCTTATGTCAAACTCCTGACCTCAGGTGATCCACCTGTCTTGGCCTCCCAAAGTGCTGGGATTACAGGCATGAACCACTGCACCCAGCCATATCATCTTTTAAATATCCAAGATTCCTATATTTTCTAGTCCCCCAGTCATTGTTCTCATCCATCTCACCCGGCCACATTCCTCTCTATCAATCTTTCTCTGCGTCTACATTCTAGCAAGACTCCTTCCTTCCTTCCTTCTCCCCTGCCCCCCGCCCCCCGCCACTCTCTCTCTCGTTCTCTCTTCTTCTTGAGACAGGGTCTCACTCTGTCACCTAGGCTGGAGTGCAGTGGCATGATCTCGGCTCACTGCGACCTTCGCCTCCCAGGTTCAGGCAATTCTTGTCCCTCAGCCTCCCAAGTAGCTGGGTGGGATTATAGGTGCATGCCACCATGCCTGGCTAATTTTTGTATTTTTAGGAGAGACAGCATTTCACCATGTTGGCCAGCCTAGTGTTGAACTCCTAGCCTCAAGAGATCCACCCGCCTTGGCCTCCCAAAGTGTTGGAATTACAGACGTGAACAAACACATCTGGTCGGTTTTTCAAGCTCTTGCCTCCAGTCTTTGAAAATGTTCTTCTTTCTGCCTTGAATACTCTTTCTACCCCACTGTCTATCCCACCTTCATCTTAGTCTCAGTCATCTTCTCAGCCTCCTCTGAACTCCAAAGACTGGGGGACCAGATGAAATATTGATTGTTAATTAACTAACATATTTTTCATTTTGAGGTTATATTATTAAATAAATTTGTAAATGTTACTTACATATTCTTGATGAATTAACTCATTTAAAATAATAAAATGTCCCTCCTAATATCTAGTAATCCTTTTTACCTTAATTTTCTCTATTTGCTGTACATAAAAATGTATTATAAGAAAAGAAAAAGAATTCTCTCTGTTATCAATATAGCTACACTATAACTTTTTCAAATCTTTTACTTTCAGTTTTCTGTGTCTTTATAAGCAGTATATGATTAGCTATTTTTTAAAAAATCCAGAATGACAATTTTTAACTGAAGGATTCAGTCTATTTACATTTAGTATAATTTTTCTTTTCTTTTTTTTTTTTTTCTTTTTTTGAGACAGAGTCTTGCTCTGTCACCCAGGCTGGAGTGCAGTGGCGCAATCTCGGTTCACTGCAACCTCCATCTCCTGGGTTCAAACGATTGCATGCCTCAGCCTCCTGAGTAGCTGGGACTACAGGCACATTCTACCACATCCAACTAATTTTTGTATAGAGACGAGGTTTCATCACATTGGTCAGGCTGGTCTAGAACTCCTGGCCTCACATGATCAGTCTAACTCAGCCTCCTGAAGTGCTGGGATTACAGGCATGAGCCACCACACCTGGCCTACATGTAGTATGATTACTGCTATATTTGGGTATAAAACTATCACTGTACCATTTGTCACTTCTGCTTTTGTTTCCTTCTTTCTTCTTCTATACGTCCCTTAGGATTCATAAAATATTTTTTATTTAATATTCTTTCCCCTCTATTAGCTTGTTAGTTACATATTCTTATATTATTATTTTAGTAGTTGTTTTAGAGATTATAATATGCATCCTTGACTTATTACAGTCTACTCATAATTGGGTTTTTAAAAATCACTTCCCAGACAATACAAGAACCTTAAAACGTATCAACTCAATTTATGCCTTTCTACCTTTTATGCTATTGTGTGTATATATTTTACATGCATTTTAAGCATATACATATGTGCATGTATATGTTTACATTTTAAGTATATGTATTTTATTTATCGTATATATTTTCTACATATATTATGCTGTATATTTTCTACATATACTATGTTGACAATATATACTTGATATTTATATATTCACTGTACAGTATTTATTTATATTTTAAGCCTCACAAGGCATTATTATTTTACACGATCAACACTTATTTACATTTGCTGACATGTTAACCCTCTTTAGTCCTTTCTGCATTTCCATGCTTCCATAATCCTTCTACCCTAAAAACTCTATTTAGTCTAGGTCCGTACAGTTTCTGTTTGGCTGAAACTGTCTTTATTCCACCTTCATTTTTGAAATAAATTTTTGATGACTATAGAGTTCCCTATTGGCAGTATTTTTTCCCTGCACTTTACAAATCCCAGTCCATTGTTTTCTGGGTTCCATCATTTTCATTTCAATCATTTGTTAGTTTTATTGTTGCTCCTTTGAAGGCAATGCGTCCTTCTGGTAAAATTTTCTCTGTCTTTGGTTTTCAGTAGTTTTGCTGATTACCTAGGTATGGTTTCTTTCATTTATCTGGCTCGAGATTAGTAGAGCTCCTAGAATTTCTGGCTTGATGTCTTTTATTGATTTTGGAAAACTCTCTGCCAATATTTTAAATACTGTTTTTGCTCACTCTGTCTCCCCTCTCCTTCTTAGACTTCATCTACATATACGTTTGACCTTTCACCATATCCCATGTGTCTTTTATGCTCATTTCTAAATTTTCTATCCCTTTTTTAAAATTTCTATTTGATTCTTAAGAATAGATTCCAGTTTTCTAGTGAAATTTCCCATTTTGTCATCACTTTTTCTTAAACATATAATGGTTATTTAAAGTCCATGTGAGACAATATAAATATCAGCATCATTTTTAGGTCTAGTTTATCATTGTTTCCTATCTTAATTTTTAGTCGTTTTGCTCTGTCTCTGACAACTCTGGTAACTTTTCAAATGGAAGCCCAAATATTAGGTATGAAAAAGATGAAAAGGCTTTGGACAATGATATATTCCTCCAAAAAGAATTTCAGGTCTTCTGGCAGTTAAGGAGAACTCAAATTGTCTTCATCTAATCAGGGATTGAGATAGTTTGATGCTGGATTTCAGTCCCTGTGATGGCTAGTTTATCTCCAGTTTGTCTTTATTCCTAAAGCATAGCCCTTCAAGGGTTTAAACTGAAAGCCTGAGACATTTACCAGGGCTCCTTCTCTATAACAGGTCCTGAACTCATAAGACTGATTAAAATCCTGCTTATTTCATTAGCTTCCTCGCTTTTTTTTTTTTTTTATGCTTGGCTTCTTTGCCTCCTGTACTATTAGAGCTCTCATCCCACCTCACTCCTGGCTTAGGAATTAGTAAATGCTTTGAGGAAAAATATGGTGAAGAATTCCAGTTTTACTTCTCTGTGGTTCACTTTTCTCTGGGATCTTAGTGCCTGGAATCCTGGCTGTCTTGGTTATTCTCTTCAGACATCTGCTTTTTCTTTTCTTTAAAAAAATTTATATAGTTTTTATAGATGTTCTTGGTGGGAGGATTGGTCCAAATATGCTATTCATCATAACAGAAGCAGAAATCTTCAGATCTTTCTTATATGCTCTTATAGCACTAAATGCTTCTAACATTATGCACTTAGGTTATAGAGCAACTGCTTTGATAGCTGATACGTATCCTTTGTTAAACTATAAAGTTCTTGAGAACAGGAACCTTGTCTTTTATATCTATATCTATATCATGAATCCTTAATGAATAGCATACACCTTTCACTCATTCATTTGTTAGTGCACCAAACATTTCTGAGTGCCTATTACGTATTAGGAATTCCATATGTGCTAGGCATTTAATGGTAAAGAAGAAAGACATAGTCCCTGACACGAAGATATCCTGTTATATTTTACTGGAGAGAAATAGCCAAAAACAAGTAAACCAACGAATAAAATAATTACAATTTGTGGTACATGCTATGAAGGAAATAAGCAGGTGCTGGGATAGAAAATGATGAGGGTGTGGAGAACAGGAAAGTTCATTTTAGAAGAGGTAGTGATATATTAGCTAAGCCTTGAAGGATAAGAAGGATTCACGCATGTGAATTGTGGAGGGAAGAGAGTTCCAGAGAAAGGGACATACAAATGAAAGCTTCCAAAGTGGCAAAGCGTGCATAGAACTGAAAAGGCAATGGA